TCCTTCAGGGAACGAGGGTTACATACGTAACCGAGACGTTCTTAACTAAGAAAACTTAAGTCAGAAAAAAGTAAGTAAACCACCTGAGGACTCGACCCTCTTTTTATTTGTGATAAACTGTCTCAGTCTAAATTACATTCACACTGGTGTTTTAGGATGCCAAACAAATTAGAATATAGTAATAATAATGACAAGCATGACAGTAATAGACATATATTGTAAAACAGTTGCAATGTAAAATAACTAAAAATTAATATTTCCTTTTTTTTGCGCTTTATACTACAGTAGGGACATTACAATACTTCTTTCCTAATTTCTACACTTGAAAGAGATATTTTGAATTTATACTGTATTTAAACCACTAGCTGTCAACAATTCATACTGCACTTTAAAGCTTTTAATTTGACGGAAACGGCAGTAGAGAACTCCAGCTTCAGTGAAAACCGTCTTACAAAAATGCATCTCACTACAAGTTATCTGCTGTGAAAATAAAGCCTAACTGGTGGCTGTTGCGTTCCCAGATGCATGCTAAACTCACAGCACATGAAATAAACGAGTTCACTGCATTCATTCACTGTGAACTAAGCCGAAGTGCGCAGCGAAAACAGATTTTAAGAGATTAAGCCATATTGTGCTTTCAGTTTTAGTTCATTTGACAGATACTGTGCCAAAGCATAATGGCCCAAAACACAACTTTAAAGACCTTTTATGTTAGAATAATAAGTTAAAAAATATTTTAAAAATGACATTTTTGCCCAGAAGACCTATCGTTCTATATTGTCATGTGACCACGATAATATCGAGATGGTTTTGCTAACGTGATATCACGATATTGATACTATCGTTACATCCCTTGTATATATATATATATAAAGGTGGGTGCAAGAACTGGAATTGAGAACCGCTGGTCTAGGATGACCTATTAGTACCCATTTGGTCTTGTGTTATTTAAATTATTTTTTTCTTCATTATTACAGTGTTGATGGCAATAACAAAACCGTAAAATCAGTGCAGGAACAGATTGATGAATTCAGTATCATCCAAAGTGGCACTGCTTACTCGCCATCTTCCATGCTATACCACATGGAAAACGTCATCAAAACAGAGGCGAGTTGTCTTTATTATAGTTGTCTTTTATTTTATGCTTACATTAATTTATACCTATCTATCTACAGGTAACTCTATTCCAATGAATGATTACTAATGTGCAAGCAACAGCATTTGTTATCTTTATAAATCTTTTTCATTGTCTCAAAAAATATCATTGTCAAGTTGCAAGTGTCAAAATGCAAAGGCCTTCTGAAAGCAGAAAAGCTCTATTTCCTCTAAAAGAGTGAGATGTGACTGGGTCTGCTGTGTTGCCAGTTCTCTATCTGTTGTTTTTTCCTACTAAAATGGGATACTGTTTTATACTTAGTGTGAATTATTTTAATTTCAACAACAATGACCATGGCATTTATACTTACTGATATATTTAGTAGATAATAATAATAATATATAAATAATTATCTGTGTTAACCTCCTGATAAGGAAACCAAAGTGAAGGCATTGCTCAAAAGAGAAGTTGTTGCGAGAAAGAAGGAAATCTACTCATCAATCCAAAAAACAATTCAGAATCGAATGACTGCTGGCTATGAGCGTAAGGAAGCTTTTAAAACAACACACACTAATTGCAGTTTAACTGTTGCCCACCTGAGGTTGCACAAACCTGTTAGCTTTAAGACCACAGATGAAACCACATTTTTGTCCTCATATAACTAATTACAGGTTTTCTCTCAGAGACATTCTATGTTTGTATTGCCTGTGTTAAAGAATATTAAATAATAACAGAATATTAAATGTTACCTATTACAGAAGCTGCAAAGTTGAAAGGAGTAAAAGCAACGGAGAAGAGGGAGGATAAAATAACGGAAACAATTGAATTGTTAAAACCCAGCATGTTCAAAGATGCAAAAATGGAAGTTCTGAATCAGGTCAAGGATTTAAAGGTATTTCTCAATATTGTTTAAACATATTTGCTGCTTCTTTCTGAAGATACTTACGAGCAACACAAAAACGCTCTTCTTTTTCTATACCTTGACTATGTGTTTTCTGTTGTTTCTTTCGAAAGGAGCATATATGCAAGACCCTTGAATCTGAGCTAAAGGGATCAGTGGAACGCTCACTTTCACAAACCAGCAGAACCACTCTGATGGGTAAGAGAGAATAAAATAACTAAATATTAAGACCTACTTTAATATCAGGCTGAACACCCAGTAATATTTCTTTTCTAGATGTCACCGGAAAGATTGAAAGGTTGGAGCTTCTGTCAAGGTCTGTCATCTGACTCATCATTTAAAAGCAGCATCTCAGCATTTTTCAGTGAAAGTTATTTTTAAGATAAATGTATTTCTATTATAAAGCATGCTTAATTATTGCTTAAGCTATTATTATTATTTCAAATCCTTTAAATTGTTGGACTTAACTTTTGATTGTGTAACTAATCGCATAAGAAAAACTATTTTGAGGTGTAGACTATTGCTGTTATTAATGAATACAACTAAACATAGGCTGAAGTGGAATATTAAAACAAATCCTATGTTAGTTGTTGGGTCAGTGGACCCAATAAATATGGTGCACTCCCCTGACCAATGTGTCTCGCTTTGCAAGTAGTTAGGTGTTGCATTTGCAAAATGAAAGCCTTTGCGATTGCAACCTGCATATATCCTATGTTTAAGTAACCAAGAGCTTGCTGCAGAGTTAAAACTTAGTGGGTGTGTGTTAATCTCGTTTTGTATGTTCATATATGGAAATTCTTTGTTGTGAAGCAATACTGTGTAGCCAAGGCAGAACTACAGTATATATTGAACAACTTGGAACAGAACGGCACCACACCTCGGGGTGAAGACATCTAT